AAAAATTAAAAAGAGGTATTTGGCAATGTGGTCAGAAGAAAAAAAAAAAGCTTCAATGATTTCACGCATTTGTGGATTTAAAGATTATCTTGCTTTTCGATCAACATACATAAATACATACATATGTACTATATGTGCACAGAAACATTTGCACATACATATATGTATATACATGCATATGCGTGCAAAGCGTATGCAATTGCCGCCAGCTCGCATTTAAGTGCTACTTCTTCCACTTCATCCGATTTCACAAACATCCGGCTAAAGCTTTCATGAGCTGAATGTGTTTTGTGATTTTTTCATTTGCATTTATGTAAGTATTTTTTTTTGGTTTTATGAAGAGTTCGTTTCTACTAGCCAATTGGCGGATACTGCTGGTTAACATCAAATTTTATTCTGTAGAATTTTTCTCAAACAAGCTGTGAAAATCTGACTACATTTTTCAGTAAAGCTTTTTATGCTACTTTGATTGCATAAAATTCATTAAAACTTCAGAGCGCATTGCTTGAGCCCCTTAACTTCTATAATTAACTTAACATTTTAGTCTACATACGAAAACCTACCAAATTAAGTGGTAATGGTAACAGCTACGTAAATGTGCATTCACTTAACTTACAATGTAGGTATGTACTATGTAGTACTATACTCCTACAAGGTGATGTGCATTTAAATGGAACCACCCGCTGCACAGTGTGAGATTTAGTCAATCTAGCATCTCAAAATTAATTTTTATATGAAGTTGTAGAGATATGAACTTGAAATTTGGCACGATCGTTAAGGAGATTATAAGCTTCAATTTGGTGAAAGACAACTAGTTCCAACTAGTGTCAAAGGGGACTAGCTCCGAACTATCCTCAAAAACACTAGTTGGGGACAATTTTTTTACACATTTATATTCAAAATTTCTTCTTTTTTTCTCTTCTAACTAAAACTTGTCGATATATTGATATAAGCACCCACATACAACCATTTCTATAAAATTCTTCAAGTTTCGAACTTTAGTTTTCGATAATTCTTTGCAAATGAGAAAAATAAAAAGTTAATGTTGTTTCAATGTTAAATTTATTGATATCTAAAACATAATAAAGAGGAAAAACTAAAAAATTCAACGAAAGTTCTTAAAAGAATGGAAAATATTCAAAATAAGATATTAATCAAAAACCAAAATAAAGAAATTATATACAAATTATACAAAAGTAAAAAGCGAAAAGTAGAAATAAAAAAAAATAAGGAATTTATACAAAAATAAAAATTCCAGAGAGCTGCAAGCAAAGTTTTTTATGCTAAATCATCAAATTCATCATTTAGTTGGGTGTGAGACAGAAGTGCAATGACCTCAGAAGGTAAAGTAGAACGCTTGGTTTTTGGGGGCAAACGTAAACTTGCAATCAAAGGGTCTGACGTGATAAGCAACCTATGCAATAAATGTATGTTGGTGTCAACTCGGGACGTTTTTCTTGTGAATAGTTCGCGATACTGTCTCGACTCTTTATTGCGTGCTTCTTGCGCTTCTTCAGAAAAGTTTCCTATGGGAAGAATGCATGAAGAAATGATAGCTCCTCCATGAAACAATATTTTGTGAAGAGTTACTGGCATATAGTACCAAGGATATAAACTCAAATAAAGCTCTCTT